ACGCTCACGGAAGAGAGGCTGAAACTAAACACCTCATTGGCACACGTATCGTGCTTCCTCCTCCTCCAAAGGCTGCTAACGTCTTGGGGGCATCTTGAGAACGGCACAGGCTGTCCACCAATCAGACACCGCAGAGCACCTGCAACTCGGAGAGCGCAGGCAATGTAAGCTGCTTTAAGGGGTGGAGGAGCAGCTCCTAGCGTAAGGCAGCCCACGCAGCATGTGCTATAGACTCTCTGGATTTTGTGGTAAACGAGGAAAAAGAGGGCCGGATGATTTGGTCAGGCTTCAAACTCGTCGGAGCATCGCCTGCCAAGGCAAAGGCCCAGGCCCCTTGCGCTCTTTTCTGAGTTTTGGAACAGCCCAGGCTGTAGCTGCTGACCGCGTGTCGGAGCTGCTGGGCCCTTAGACACGCGGGCAACTTGTGACGAAAGGTATCAAAGTAGCAACTTGCCCGAAGGGAGAGCCAAGTCGTTGAGCTGGAGGGCGAACTCGCAAAAGCGCGAAGGCAGATGTTCGAAGACCGGACGGTGTCGGAACTTCTCATTTTCTTGTGATTGACAGAGGCTCCTGCAGCGCTGGCAGGAGGAGAGGGAGCAATCCTGGTCGGCCTGTGTATGTCTTTAACTTGCCAAGATGAAGCCCAGCAGCTCAACACAGCTCTCAAGGTCAAGCATCGTGAACAGCTTCATGTGTGCCACCAACAGATAGCAGATGACATGCCACGGGCTGAGAAAAGACTGCCGATCACTGAACACAGGTACTTCATGTATGCTCTGGTGCTTGAGCACAGGTCAGCGCAAAGAAATCCAGGCGTCTGTGGCAAGGCATCAAATGGCCAGCAGTTCAGTTCCTGCAAACGAGTCTCCACTCCTCCTTCCCCTGGAAGCAGGCTCTTGGTCTGCAGCTGAACAATCTGATTGCATCTGATTGCAGGACGCGCGTTCTGCTTCGATGATCCTGTAGATACTACTCATGAAGTGTGAGCGGCCTACTTTGTCAATAGTTCTGGAATTCATGCTTTATGCGTTATTCGCAAGCTCAGAAAGAACTGGCAGCTTACATTTACATGAATTTAGTCTCCTGCACGTCGCCAAAGGCGCAGGTCAGGTCAGCTTTCGAAGAAATGACTGTGCCTCTTCAGATTCGGCGCTCTGTCAACACCCAAGCGCTCTTTACTGTACACGACTCTTGCCAGGTATTTGAAAGGTTTCCTGCAGGTCAGCTGGGTGTGTGGCTCATCATTCTGCCGGAGCCAAGAAGTAGCCCTGGAAGTTCAGAAGCCTGGTCGACGATCAGGTGTTTGCGCCCTGGACATTCTGGCTGTCCGGCCTGCTGTGCTTCACGCTCTGGCAACCACCTCAGCACCATTTTCGCGTCTCATGAAAGAAAACTGGTCTCCAACGCGCAGTTGTCTTGGTACCTCAGGCAAAGCTTTTTGCCCGTGAAGCCCTCCACCGTGCCATTGGACGTGCCGCGGTATTGGAGACATCAGGATGCTCCCGAAGCGGAGGGCATGTGGGCTCCAAGAAGTTTTTTCCTTGCGGCAGGAGTTGCACTCCGATACCGAATCGCTATTGCCCCCGTGACCTGGACAGCGTTATCTGTTAGCAGCTACCGTGGCATCCTCATGTCTCTCGGGTGACCCGAAGCCCTCAGCGATTCTGCTGCTGGCAGGAAAGCACATAGGGACAAAGTCTTGGATCACTGTGTCACTCAGATCCGTCTCACTTCTTTAAGGTCTGGCAGAGGCTGTGAAACAACCGCAGCCATCGACGACAGATTGGAAGCCAGCAGAAGCCGTGTGATTTAATTACATCAACCGACGTCAAACCTAGCTTCTGATAGCAAAGAAGGGCTATTTCCAGCTGTTTGCTCTCTCTGGACAAAGCCCTTTTACCTAAGCTCCCGCGAACATGTTTAGGCGAAAGTGACCCCAAAAGGTAAACCGCTGGTTTGTTGATCGTAAGAAAACTCGCTCAGGATTGACAGAGTGGCTGAGGGCAGGCTTCGCAAAAGTTCTTGAGGCCCCAAATCCTTTCAACATCTGCGTGGCAAAAGACAATGGTTGGTGCAAGATTAGTAGAGAATCCGACGGCAGTCCACGACCTTAAGTCGTTTGCGTGGGAGGGTCAGAGGCAAGGGCAAGAGAGCTTTGTTTCTAAAAAAGATGGGTGGTCTTGCCCCATCTCTGCACTGGGCTACGACGAGCGCATTCCAGGCAGACGGCGCGTATCCTGTATCATTAACACTCCTCCCTCCATCCGCGCCCCCCATAAACCCTCCCACTCCCCGCCGTTCCGCCACAACAAAGTGGCAAAAAAACACCGTTTGTGAAGCAGCAGTCCATCACGGAATGAGGCGTGAACTTGAAGGGGTTTTGGTGTTGCAAAGTTCTCCGAAGTGAGGCGCACTTGCGTTGATTCCTGCTTTGTTTCCAGGGCTCGGCAAGTCTATCATGGCTAGGTCACATATCTGTGGAAGCGTGCGCCCGCGCTTGCCAAAAGGCGCCACAAATCTAGAGGCGTGCGGTGCAACAGTCAGCACAAGCCCTGGAAATCCTAGACCAGAGGTCTCGAGAAAGCGAACTGGACACCGTCCCATGCCATTCTCTTTCCGCTGCCTTTTGAATTGGCGGAGCCTCCGTGAACGCCCAGAGGCCGGCTGCCTTGTTTGATAGCATGCAGAAAACATCTCTTGCACACGGTGCTAAGCTAGTCATCTCCGTGTGCACATCTTCGCTCGTGCGCGCTCCAAACGCTGGAAGCCATCCCACACTAATGTTATCCCCCGTTCATCCTTGCTATTGGTGCTGTAGGGCGGGCTCAAAACGGGCACGTTCCAGAGACGGGGCAGAGGCCACGGAGGCAGCTGCCCAGGTCACTGCCTGAGCTGTCGCTGACTTGTGAGAAGTTGGAAAATGAAGCGACCAAATCTTGCAGCGGCAGCCTGCAAGCTACGCCAGTTGCAGGTCCTGGTATGGGCAGCGGCGCCAGCAAGAGAGGTCATGTGATTCAGGCCGTTTTGTGATACAAAGTTGTGTGGGCTTCCAAATGAACTCTGGCGAGGTGAAAGCATCTTCCCCGGCTGAGCCTGCAGAGCCTCAGCAGGCTGACAAGCCAAAGGCCTGCGCCGTGTGCTGGGCGTTTTCGTGGTACGATCCCTGGAGCCAGGACCTGAAGCGCCCACCGAGACCCGAAAAGGGAAGACCAAAACCGAAGGAAAAACATGAAGCCGGCGACGGCGAAGTGTGCGAAGCCAAGGCCAGAAGCCGAATCCGACACGTTGGTACACTGGCTTTTTTTGGCCATTTTTTTGCCAGCAGATTTCTGATAGCAGAAGAGGCCCCAGGTCACATCAAAAAGAACGTGTAAGGATTGTGTTGTTGGTTGGAGCTTGTAGCTGAAAGCTGGAATGGCCTCAGGCAAGTGAGGGCTCGCCAAGCAAAAGGCAAGGGCTGGAGCTACGCCAAGAAGCCATGAGCCTAACAGCCTAAGTGTCGTGTGCTTTTATCGGATTCCATGGTGTCTCATCCTTTCTCAAGGTGTCGCACGTGGAGGAGGTGACACCGGTCGAGCAGGATCAGGAGGAGGCGCGTAGGCTTCCAAACTGTTTATGGAGTGCGTTGATCTTGGTCCTTGTCAAGGCTAGACCTGCTTCGCAAAGCGAGGCCCCGCAGGTCCAGACAAAGAAGGCAGAGGAGACCTCGGGGTTCTGAAGTGCAGTGCTCTGGCTAGTCCAGTGGAAGCTTTGAGTTGTAGGGCCGCCTTGCAGGCAGCAATCTAGCTGAACTACAAACTGCAAAGACCTCTGCGCCGCGACTTTTGGCTCAGCGGAGAGAGAAATCCACTCAGCCTGTGAAGATTGCACGCCATGCCACCAAAGGCGTCAATGTTTTGAGAATTCAACTGTTACCTGTGTGTGGCCGACGAAGCCAGGCAAAGCAGCAGGTGGAAGCTGTGTCCCTGGGGCCCCAGGTTCGAGAGGGCGAGGCTGGATGTTATGATGTTGCATGAGCGTGCATGAATCAGCATCGGCGTGGCCATGGGTCCTGAGATCGTGTTTGGCGTTGCGCACATCTACGCCTCCTTCAATGACACCTTTGTCCACGTGACAGACTTGTCTGGGCGTGAAACCATCATGCGTGTCACTGGCGGAATGAAGGTGAAGGCCCAGACTCTTTGAAACAAGTCCGGCGATTCAAATGCCTTGTCTTGTTGCACTTGACTAGATTGGAGAATACAAGGCCGACCGGGATGAGTCATCACCCTATGCGGCCATGTTGGCGGCCCAGGCCACGGATGAGTTGGGGACAGCGGATGTCAGATGGCATGAATGGTTCCCAGCTGCTTCAGGATGTGGCAGCCCGTTGCAAGGAGCTTGGCTGCGCGGCCTAACTTAGGAACTTGAAGGCTCCCAAATTTGCCCAACCTTGACGGCTGAATCAAGAAACAGCTCGTACAGTTCCCACACCTTCCACACGTGCGGCATCTGCTCCGAGGCATTGGCGCACTGCATATCAAGCTGCGAGCCACCGGAGGAACCAAGACTCGCACGTGCGTGGCCAAGTTGGAGAGCGAAGAAACGCTGAATCATGTTGAACATGTTGAAATCATTTGCAATCCATTTTTTGTGTTCGAAGGCCTGGACCTGGAGCGCAGAGTGCCCTCCGTGCCCTGGCGCGATCGGGCATGAAGATTGGCCGAATCGAGGTGGGCACAACAGACTGCGGGGAAGCTTTGGAATCTGTGGCCAAGCCAGCTGCAGGATGTAACGCCGATTCCAACAGACTGCACCCGCCGCAAGTGCGGACGCCGCGGACGACGTCTGTGAGTCTCAAGGGCTTGCAGCCTTTCCACCTCTGGCGCGTTCGGCCCTGGGCTTGAAACACGGTCGGGTAGAGGATGTGCGTGCGCCTTGAGATGCGGAGCCCTTAGAACGTCTCACGCACAAGCGGCAACCGGAACAGGCGAGTGGGAAAAGGGCCGGATGTGCCAGGAGAGTCTGCTATGGAGCGGTCAGTCAGCAGGTTGCTCTGGCATCGGATGCCTCTGTCAACCTGTGCTCTGTTGCCTGACGTGGGGCTGTTGCATTGCAAAGGAGGCCTTTGAGAGTGAACAAAACGAGCCGAAGCAGCTGACTCCCGAGGCCGAAGCTCGTTTACAGGATGTTTTTAGGAAGACTTTGCTTGTCGGAGCGGTCAGGAGCTCCCAGCTGCCTGCCGAAGTGGGGACGAAGAAGCAGTGAAGGCCTAAACCCAGCAGAGCATGCTTTTGAAGCTATTCCTCTTGCAGCCATGTAACGGTTTGGAGGCCTTCCTGCAGAAAGTGGGTCCCAGAGGGCTCAGCGACGGCAGCGAGGAGGTCGCTGAGCTCAGATGCCACCATCGACTCATCGACTGGAGGCTTGGCGGTGTTGGCTTCACACTGAAGTCACACCTGAGGCACTCTTCGACGTGTACGGAGAGTCGGTTCTGCACCACGCCATACATGGATCCCACATCGAGGTCGCATGTGAACCCAAACGATTAAGCACAGCTACGGCTATGCCAGGTGGCGCACTTGCTTCTGGATGTCGGTCTTGTACAGGCTTTGACGGATCTGTCTGATTTAATTACCTCCCATCGCTTGCACCGGAGGTTGACATTCCGAACGCGCGGAATGAGACTGCGCTTGCAGTTGCATGTCGCAAGGGAGACAGCTCCATGGCTTCTTTTCTGCTGAAGGCCATGGAAGCCGAAGACATGTCACGTCACATCACCTCTTTTTCCATCGAGTCTTTTTTTGACAGCCCGAGGCAGACGCCAACCCCAACTGTGCCGACTGCAATGGCCTCACGCCCTTCCTGGCCGCTGTCCTTGGCGGAGCCAGCAGCGATTTCCTGGAGATGCTTGCGGCGGCCGGGAGTAGCCAGAGACATGAAGAAGCTTCGAAGTGTTTCAAGGAGTTTACACCGCGAGGCCAAGGCTGACATCAGTGTCCTGGATGGCCGCGGGGTCGGAGCACTCCACTGCGCGGCGCGCACCTCGGACACGTCTCAGAGTTTGCCGTCTGACACTGCTTCAAAGTTCGAAGCTTCCAGCTTGAAAATTTCTGCACTTGCGCTCGCGCACCTATCAAGTGACATAACCTTCTCCGACACTCACTGACATTGAGCATGCAACTTGTAAGCCAGCCCATGCCAAGAGATGAACAATGAATAAGCTGTAGAAATGCAAAGCCCGACAGAACGTGGGCTTGGGAGCCTAGAAGTGCGACGCCTCCCACACCATGGCCGATGCGAGAGCTACTGCCTAAGACCCGGCACAGGATTGGCGCCCGTTGCAGCGCAGCTCTGCTTGGAGGCATCAATTCAGCGTGCTCCAACCATGCGCTTACGCCTGCAACCAAGCTGTGCGGTAGCTCTCTGCTTGAAGGCAGGTTGCATGTGCTGCCCGTTGTTTAATCAAGCTCGTTGCAAGGAGCAAGATCGTGGGGTGCTTAAGATCTCTTGGAGAGCAAATCTTGCATGGTGTTGTGCATGGCTGTAGGTCTTGCTTGTTTCATGCCGGTGACGGGCTGCTGGGGAGGTCCTGCATCGAGGTGGATTTCTACGATGACTTTGCAATAGGATGGAATGAGCTTTTCGAACCGGCGCGAGGCCATGCAAGTTTGTTTTAAAGACGGTCGCACGCATGGGTCGCAATGCTAGAAGCAGGCCGGGCAATGCCGCGAGACTCACCTGAGCTGCCAGTCACTTGGTCAACTCGGTAGGCTGAAGACTATTTTTTGAATCTCAATGTCTCTTCAGGCCGGCACCTCCCATGGTAGCCCCTTTTCTGCAAAGTGAGCGGTTGAGGGTGGAGCCAGCAGTACGGGGAACTGCAGGCCAGGAGGAAGAAGCTACCTCCTCCGTATCTCCGCATGGGAGGAGGCAAGAAGTCACTCATTTGCAAGACGCGCTTGCATCGAAAATGCCTGCATGTGCTTTTTTTTTGTTCGTGTCAGTTGTTTGAAGCAGCTGAGGAATGCTATTGAGCATGGCATCAAGGAGGGGAGGGAACTTGGTAGTACGAGCACGCAACTGTTGCCTGCGGGCCTTAAGCAGGCTGCTTTAAATCGGAAGGAGAGTTTTGCACAGAACATAGTTGAGTAAAGTCGCAGAGCGGGGCACACTTGACAGACCTGTTTCACTGCATGCTTTCTTCCACGAAAAAGTGCCTGTTCTTGGCTGACCCCAGGAAATTTTCCGGAGCCGCTTATGCTCACAGCGGCTTCAAGCCTTACGTCTGAAACTGGGATGATGCGCTTGGCCTTGCTAAGACGCCCGTTAGGGCGGCTTTGTCAGACAAGATGGGTTGGCACACAGACGCCTATTTGGCGAGATCGACAGGAAGCTCTTGCGAAGTTTGCTGCAGCCAGGAGGAGTATGCAAAGACCTCAAAGCAAGGCAAGTAGATGCAACTTGAGAGACCCTGCTCCAGCCTTGTCGGTTGAAGAGCGTGAGGCACTATCAGAAGCACGGAGCAGTCCGCGCGAGCTCGTTGCTTTGGCCTTCCTGGCAGCAGAGCAAGGCCAGGAGTTTGATTGTGCGCGGCACGTGTGGTCTCTGAAGACCCTGCCTCGAAGTCCTGAAGTACGCGCAGCTGTCGATTCGGTTCAGGATGATCTCCGAACAACTTTGCTGCAGAAAGTTGCATCAAAAGGACTCGAACGGCCGCTCTCCTACTTGTTAGAAATGAAGGCCAATGTGATGCAAAAAGATGCAGAGGGCCGCACCGCTCTTCACATGGCGGCGAACCAGCACAAGGAGGATGTGGCGAAGCTGCTTCTATCCCGTGGTCGCGCCCATGTAAATGCCAGGGACAAGAATGGCAGGACGCCCCTCCATGTGGCTGCAGAAGGTCAACACGTTCAAGTTGCCAAGGTACTGCTCCGATTCGGTGCAGATGCTCGTGTTGTGGAACCTAAGGAGCAGGAGCAGGAGCTGCGAGAATACGTGGCAAAACATGTGGAGCGGACCCAGCACCGGGCAAAGCGAGCCGGAAAGATCAACTGGAACCGTCGCGTCAAAGCCCTAGGCACCTTTCTTCCAGCGCACGTCGTCGCGCCAAAGTTGGTGCTTACACCAGTTGGTTATTGCCCTGTGGAAGAAGACGGGAAGGAGGTCCAGTTAAAACGAGGTATCCGTTACGCCAAGAAGCGCCGTGGACCGTCTGAGCCACGTGGGCGCGTAAACTGGTATGCGCCAAGGGGCTAGGCCGGGCTAGGTCAAAGCTGCACAGTTGAAGCTGTGTCGGAGGGATCTCAAAGGGTTCCCTCAGCAGAGCACATGATTCGTCCTAGTTTCACATTTGACATGACGATGGAACAGCAGGCATGAGAACAGTGTGTTGCTGCACCGTTTGCGGGAGCACCCGCAGTCTAGACATTTGTTTCGTTGGCAGTTGGAGGGAATCTCGAGAAAGCTAGTGAAAGCTCCTCGTCTGAGAGGAACGCCTCCGCTTCTGCCCGATAAATCAGATCCGGAAGCCGGCCGAGGTCCCGCCTCCGAGGGGGATGGGGTAGTGGAGCAGAAAGCTGCAACAGCAACGACAGCTGATCTGACCTCTGAATGAGCTCAGATCATCGACTTGGAGCTTGATCAGCTTCGGAGTCAGCTTGGGGCAGAGCATGGATGCAGGCGGAGGGAGGCCTGATCCTCAGGAGCCTCGAAAGCAAACTGCTTTCTGCTGATTCAAATTCCTGTCAGATGCGGCATTTGCGCCGTTTGCGGCGCCGCTGCCGGCTGCAACCTCATGAGGCCTGTCGTCCAAATGGGTCGGCGGCTTCTTTATTCAGATGCGCTCGCTGCTGCCAGGACTTAGATGAAATCGAGGACGGCAGAATCGATAGAGACAGGTGCAAGGCTAGGCGGTCTCTGCTATCTTGAAGGAACGCTTCCTGGGCCCGGATGGCAAGCTGAAACCTCTGTTTGATGGCCAAAAGCACTCAGCAAGGCCAGGCATTAGCATGTGCTGCATTCGAGTGACCCACAGCTGGTGGTTTAGAGAGGACACCCCGACGCCCGGATCGTCCCAACATCCTCAAATCATGATCTCCAAGGAGAAGCAGCTCTGAGTTTGCGTATGTGTCAGCGCTGGATTTCATTATGCTTCTAGCTTTTTCAGGGAAGTCACGCCTTGGACCATGTCTTGTTGCTTCCTGCACCCGCGAAAACCTGGTGCGCAGATCTCGTCTCACATCGATGTATCACGTGAGTTTGCTGAAGCATGAGTAGACTCAGTTGGAGGGTTGCTTCTGTGCAGAAGACAAGCAATGCTTCTTCTTGGCGTCAAAACTTGCCCCCTGAGTCGCCGACAGTTGGCTGCCTTCATTTGTCACAAGTTTTTTGTGCTATAGGCCCTGAGCGGCAATTTGCAGCTCATGCCACCTGACCGCAAGTCCAGCGTTTTTTGGATGCTTCTGGATTCTGGATGCCCCCAGGCAATGGCTGACTAGCCACAGGGTGGAGCTGGACTTGCAGACGGAGCACGGCACTTCCGCTCTCAGTGCGCCGGGATTAGGGTGTTTGGACGCGCGAGGTCCTCTGGGATGGTACCGCTGCCTTTTGCTTGCATCCCTGTGCAGTGCTGGCCTCCAAACGGGGCCTGGCGGATGGAGTGCCCAGCACCCAGGGACGAAGTAATTCCTTTAGTCTTTATTTTGCACTCAGCTTCGGAACCTGAGGGCCTTGCTGCTCGCCGCGGGGGCCAACCCCAACCTATCGGACAAGGCTTGACGACAGCAACAGCCAAAGTGGAGCCATCAACGCATTTCGTTTTGCTGCAAGCTCAGGCCGGCTGCAGCGCCCTGATGCAGGCTGTAGCGCGACCAGAGGCACACGAGCTAAGAGTAACGTCGCCCTTGTGCGATGGTGACTGGAAACCCTTTCACTGCAAGTGTGGCACATAACAATGCACTTGCACAGCCTCCGTTGAAGAGTCGAAATGAAGACGAAAGAAGATGTCTTCAAACAGAAGGTCAAGGGCTATGCAGCCCTATGCTGGGGTTACATTGCTATAGTATTCTCCTGACACTTGCGAGCAAACGAAGAGGCAAATGGATTCAATTTGTGCTTCAAGCCCTCAAAATCGGACTGGGCGTGGGTGGTCTTTCAGTTGCGGAACGGCTCTTCCAGAACGATTTCGTGCAGGTAGCTAGACTGCTCCTGGAGGGCGGCGCTTCAGTTCCGGACTTGGGAGATTTGTGCAGTTGCCGGGAATTGCCTTCGAGGGTTGCTTGGGGGCGTTGGAGGTGATATAAAAAGGTCGAGGAGGGTTCTTGTTAAACTACGTTACGCTATCACGCTGCTTGGGTCCATGGCCGACGCAATAAGATGCCTCACCCTGACACAGTTCCGTGAGATGCCATCATTTTCCTTCATCCTCCACAATCAGGTGGACTTGGTTGACTCTGCCGGGCGGAACGCCCTCTTCCACGCCGTCATAAGCGGCGAGGCGAGGCCATGAGCTGCCAAACTCACTTACACATACACATGCTCATTGTCAGGCATCAGCTGTTGAGGCGATTCTGGTGCGGGAAGGCTGTGAGACTTGTGTTGAGCCTGAAGGCCGCCTGACGCCTTCAGACATCACGCAGGTCGCATCAACATCATGGATGAAGATGGGCGTTCGCCCCTCTATCAGGCCTTCAAAGCCTTCAACTCCCGTGACTTGTGCAAGCACCTAAGCACCTGAGCAGCCTGAGCAGACTAAACCTTGCGAGAGGCCTGCCTGATGGGCGCCACCCCGCTGGCAGAGCTGCTTCTTGCTGCGGACGCAGGCCTTCGGCGAAGCGAACCAAGCATGCTGCAGCAAGCATAGCAAGCTTCAGTGGAAGTTTCGCAACCTGGATAGATCCGAACCTCGCTGGGCGAGCGTCACCGGTACGCCCTGCCGCCGAGGAGGAAGCCTGAGCGCCATTTTGGAGCATGCAAAAGAACTCATTCGAAGTCCCTCCAAGAAGCTTCAGCTCACTGGATGCAGGAAAACGAGGACAACGCTGCGAGAGTCCTCTTGGAAGAGTCCCGCACGTGCCTGCAGGCAAGACGACAGCTATCATGTAGCTGCGCCACGGTCGGTTCACGCATATACTTGCTCGCACATGCATAGGTCTGCGCGATGCTTGCCCACAATGAGCTGATGCTGTGCTTGTTGGAGCCATTTCCTCAACAGAACACATGCATGTGCATGCGTAAGGCGTAAGCCTCGTTGCAGACTGCAGGCACAGTGCAGACATCAATGCGGCTCCTGGAAGTGGCTTTGCTGCAATACTTGCAGTTTGGAAAGAACTCTTCACGCTTTGAAGCGGAGGTCTGGGCTGGAGTGCCCTGCACTTGTGCTCGGCGGTAAGCAACCAGGAAGGCCAGGGAGGGAAGGTGCAAGGGAGAGGAGAGTGCTTTTGGTTGTACCAAAAGCGAATCACAGCAAGCAGGGGCAGCAGGGTTGTGGATTACAGAACTAGTTGTGCCTACCTGGAAAGAAGTTTTTGAAAGGCAGTGAATTCTGTTACTTGTAATGAATTCCACGAAGCCCAGCTGGTCGGACTAGGCATGTGGCCCTGGTGCTTAAGTTTAAGCAGTGAAGTGTATGGGCTCTAGTGTTTGTGGGTTGCCCAGGGTATTGGCGGAGCGGCCGGCAAGCATTTTGGTGACTGGGGGGCACGAAATCTAGCATGGAGGTAGGTGCTGACCAGCTTCCAGTGTCACCGGACGGAACCCGAAAGCGGAAGCGGGGATCCGGACAGGCAATGCAGCTATGTTTTGGGGGCCGTGAGGAGTGAAACTGTGTCTGTGAAACTGGCCGACTGAAGCTCTGCGCCTGGCACGGAGCTTTGCTTCGCCTGCTTCGCCTGCGCCTCCCTGAGCTTTGATACGCTTTGGTGCGCTTTGTTGGACGGGCTGGTGGATGTGTATGGCGACCACGCCGGGGCCTGCCCTGGTGGCAGTGACAGGGCCTGCGTCGCAATCGTAGTGGCGGCCCGCTGTTGCAGTCGGGCTGTCGTCTGAGGTCAAAAAGCCCTGCTTCCGGCAGGTCCCGCCGAGGTGAGCAGCTGCAAGCCAGCTGCGAGCCTGAAAGCTGAGCCGATGTCTGCCAAGCGCAGGACTGCAGGACCCGTCGCGCGGGACTTGGCAGCCAGAAGATGCCATGTCTGCAGCGGGGCTATGGCATGCTGTGGCCTCCTACCACTCTGCTGCCGCAGACGGTGCCCGACCCTGCCTGCATTGTGGCCGGCCTCCAGCCTCCTGTGGCAGAGCCTGGTAGGGGCGACCTGGGGCTACCACATTCTTCTGTTCTGTGTGTGCTCTTCCGGGACTGAGCCGGCCTGCTGCCGCCTCTCTTGTTGGGGTGGGTCGAGCTTGTCACACCCTTCCCACGGTTCCACTCCGACTGCATCGCACTGCAGAGCCAAGGCTTGGATTGCGCGTGGGAGCGGGGGGGCGGGTGGGCGCGTGCGGAGACCGGGCGGAGGTAGGGATCACAGCCCGCCGGAGCATTCGCCCGAATGATAAAGGTCACTGTTCAGAGGGCTGCACTCATCCGTCATTTCGGCACTTCTATCAATCCGCTCCATGCACGTACCCGACTCGGCACAAGTGGGTGGAGAGCGCCTCGTTCAAAGTAGAAAGCCGGGCTTTGGGCCTGGGGTCAAGTGAGTCTGAGAGACAGCGCTGTCTTGCATGAGAGCTTTGATGTCCGTCCTGTTCATGCTTCTTCCAGATCATGCTTCTTGAGCGAAATGAAGCACAACGTGATTGGCCAAACAATTTGAGAGATGTCTGCCAGGTACCTCCATCCTGCTGTCGCGTGGGGCCAATGCCGCGCTTGAGGACGTGGAGGGCAACACGGCAAAACGACTGGGCCTCGAGACAGTGGGTGCTCTACTGTTGCCACGGTGAGCAGTTTGCTGCGAATCATTTTATCAAATGAAAAGCACTGCTCAGCTCAGATCAGCGAATTGTGTCTGTTGGGGCTATCGGATGTCGGCTATTGTGTGCCGGTTGCGTTGAACGGCACAACTCGCCCGCAGCAGGTAAAGGCAGGTAAGGCTTTTTCCTCACTTTGAGGTTTCTGAAACAACCCAGCCATGCTTACACGTGGACTGCATGCGACAGTGTCCGGCAAAAAAGCATTGGAGGGATGTGCAACGAACAGAACTTCTCCGGGACAACAAAAACTCTGGTGGAGATCATGAATAATTTTGTGTTTTTGGCTTGGGTTTCCATCTCAAATCCGAGTAAGTGACATAACACTTTCGTCGTCGGGGCCTCTGGTCCTGTTGTGTGGTGTTGTTGTTTTGATGTTTTTGATGAGTGCCGTGATGGTCCCTACCATTCATCCCTATAGGAGTATTTGTACAATTCATTTGTAAATGATTCACACAGTGTCATCGTTTCATGAGCGCTACAGCGGTTACAGATTTGTTCCTTTAGTCACTATTCTCTTTGCTGCTGCGCATGTCATGGCTGCCACAGATAGCAGTATTAGGGGTTTCCACCCCAACACCCTCAAACCAAGCTCGGCCAAGCAAGGCCAAGGCCCCCTTCCTGAAATCATCCTTCTGGCGTCATTATCTGCTGTTTGCATTATTGCCACTGTGGCTCTTCGTCCCGCTATGAATCTTCTTTCTCCTCACATGGTCTGATTTGCTTATTTCATGTTGATGATGACCTTTGGGCAACATCTTTGCAGCTCTACAGCTTCCAAATAACTCCAAATGCAGTAAGTTTCAGTGTATGCAGGCTTGGAAGAACTCCAGCTGCTGAAGCTCGAAATATTGGCAAGCTTGAACGTGCTCCAGACGTTCCAGTTGGGGAAGTGCTGCGGGGCTGCATTTCTTCTGATCTTGATTTTCAGCCTTTGGGATAGTTTTGATCCTGCCGGTCTTTGGGCACCCCAAAGGGGGTTTGGGAAAGGGGGGCATTGAACAAACTGGAACTGGGATGCGCGCAAGGCTCTAGGGAAAACTGCCTTCTAGCGCCAGTGATCAAAGGGTTGCAGTGGTGAAGAAAGACAACACATCGGGCATTTCCTCCGCTTGCACGCTGAGCCCACTTCCGTTCATGACGACGATTTTGCTGCGCGATGCCGTTTCCGACCTGGAAGAATCATGTCTGCTGGCAGGATGCCATCCAGGCTACAGGCGATGCGTTGCTGCTCGCTCCCGCTTGCCATTATTGACAAAAGTTCACGCAAAACTGCGGCATGGAGCTATCGAGACATAATTAGTTCAGGCTTAGCCAAAGTCCGCTATACTGGTAGATTACATTAGATTACCTCGGTTCTGTCCTCAGTCATGATGCCTTCGAAGAATCGCAAAAGGCTGACTTTCTTGACATACAAGGATATGGAAGCATTCCGCTCCTGATTGTCCGAAAAATTCAGGTTTACAAAGCTCTCCTCGAACAAAATCCAATGTACAGTTTCAGCTGCTGCTAGATGTGCACGTTTGAACGCCGAAGTCTAGATGGTTTGCAGAATGATTCTTGCGACTCTTCATATCCCCCGTGCACTTTTTTTTTGTGTTTCGAATGCTCACGTCCTTCAATCAACTCAGGCAGAAAGTTTTTTGAATTTTGGAAGGGTCACTCTGAAGTAGCCGGACTTGCGCGAAATCTTTCCATTTAGCGTCCAGTGGTTTACCGGGCCATATTTGTCCACGCGCCTCAGGGCGTATGACTGACTGAGCCACTCCACAACATTTTCTGGGTTCATTTCTTTCTGAAATGGCTATATGCAGTCCAGTGCTGGTTGGGGCTGGCATTCCAGCTTCATGCTTCTGCCTTCTGTGGTACGGTAGGGCATTGTGTCAGGGATGCTCAGGATGGGCCAATGGGACGGACAGAAAAGTGCCAAGGGCGTGCAGCAGTGAGTTGCACATCGCGAGACCCCCCAGGCAAGCAGTGACGTTAGCTGGAATGATGTGCCAGGTGGCGTGCACGCAGGAAACAACCACAGCAGTCGCACTGCGACATCATTGCAAGAGTGAGTCTTACGTATGATGCAGAGGAGGCCGGCAGAGCTGCAGCCCACGAGAGCACCAGCGTGGCTACTGCCTGGAGAACAGCGCATCAAGTTCCGGTGAAGTGTGCTGTCAGAAGTTGACCAGGCTCTAGCAATGCATTCTGGTGAGCCTATCCTGCAACCAGGGTAGGTGAAGCCCTTTGAGCAAACCTGAGAAGCAAGGCATGCCTAGAAAGGCAGCATGATACACCTCCTCTGGACTTTTTTCTAAGTTTGCCCATGAGCCGCCCTGAGTCTGAAGCAATGCAGAACTTGGCGAAGTCTGATCCTACAGTTGCAATGACGTCTCAGAAGATATTGCGCGGCGCACTCATCCAGAGTTTGGCAGAAAAAACACCATCCTTCTGAGGGCTGGCGGAGCGTGCCGGCAACGATGCGCTTGTGGAGCTTCTTGGGGAGGCTCTCGATCTCAAGCCGCAGGATCCTGGCCCTGGCCTCAAATCCTCTCAGGGCCTCAAAAGGGAGTTCTCTGTCAGTGCGTAGCGATGCGTAGCGACATAACCATTCTCAAGGTGTGCTTCCCTCTCCAGCCCGGCGGAAGCAAATGAAGGCAGTCTTGTGGCATTCCATGTTTTCTTGGCTTTGCGCCCACTGCAGGGTCAGCTGCCGCCACTTGCCAACAGCGCGGCAGAGACAGAGGCCCTTGCCTTGCAAGCCAAGTCTGGAACGAGCAGCCCAGCCCACAGGCTCCCGAAGACCAGGAGCCCCTTGAGGCGTCAGTGCCCAAGAACCACACACAAAAGATCCCAGAACAGCCAAGACCTCATCCGGACTGAGGTTTAGAGAAGAGTGGGAACCCCGCGAAGCGACGGACTCGCTGCTTGACCGCGTCTTCGGCCCCATGGTGCGCCTCTCTTACTGCTGTCAAGCAGCTTTGCCCATTCGGCAAACATTGCTGGGCTGCCCCCAATCCTGCACGATATCTGTGATACTCATGGTGGCTTACGGTTATGAGATCTTGTCATTGTCGTCTTCTGAAAGCATTGCAGCGCTGTCCCATCACCCCAGCAGTAGATTGGGCCTTGAGGCGTTTATTACTGACTTCGAGTTGCTAAGATTACACCAATACGGCTGCATCTGCCAGCACATAGCTGCAATGCTGGATTCTGACTAAGACTGTTATACTGGTAGCATGTTCTGAAGATATCTTGCGTCTTTGCCACAGGTTCATGATGCCATGCTCTGCGAGCAATGGCGGGATAGACTGGAGGCAATGATTCCTGCGTTGATGATGCTGCTAGTGCTCTCCAAAATGTCGGCGAACGCCAGGCCCACATCTATGTCTGTCAAAACTTTGCTCAGGCAGCGTTTCATTTCAGCGAAGCGCAGGATGCGGTTGTGCGAAGACATCTTAATCCCTGAACAGTTGAACTCTGTTATAGGGCCGCATGGAGTACCTACTGCCTTGACAGCTCATGGAACAGGGTGAACCGGGCAGGTCAACGCTGCGGCTCCGGACTTGGTTCGAGCTGTTAGCCAGGCCAAGGGCCAAGGGCCAAGACGATGCAGATAAACGCCCTGTCTAAGCGCCTTCTCCAGGAAAGCATTTTTGAAAGTGTTTGAATCGTGGGCAGGCCACTGGCATGGCAGCCAGGGACAAGATGCCAAAGGCCATGTGAAGTTCTGAACATTTTTGGGGCCCCCTCTTTAGATGCCAGCAGTGAGGTGTTTCACGCAGCGCTCGGAAGCTTGGAAGAACTGCTATCCGATGCCCGCATCGATGATGTGAGCCCGGATCTCATGAAGTTACGGGCAGCAAGCATGCGCTTGGAAAGCATTTCAGACCTCAAGGCACAGAGGACTTTTCAGCCATGCTGCGGCCTGAAGAGGCAAACTTCAAGCCGCCTGAAGTGGCTAACGGACGGATGCGTTCGTTCTGCGTTCGTTCGCGGCTCATTTGCCAGGACAGCGATGGCCTGATAACAGTTCTGCTGGACAAGACGGATGTAGGCGGTGGCTCCAGCAAGGCCACTTCGCCTCAACAGGCTGGGATCACAAACACTTTCCGCCTTCGGAGCTCAGGTGCTGGGCTCAGCTCTTGTGTTTCTGCGCCCAGGCAGCTGCTACTGCCCTCTGTTCCTGCGTGCTTCATGGCCGTGCAGGGACCTCAGAATTTCATCATTCCTGGTAGTTTCTTCCTCTGCTGCAGGAGTACACCTGTCGTTCCATGCTTTCATTCCAGCAAACTATCGACGTGGAACCACGCAATTGCAAGCATGCGCGTCTTTTGCTGTTGATGAACTGAACTATATGATGTTTTGAATTCCTGCGAGCGGTCTTTTCTGATTGTTGCCCTCATTGCCACGGCTAAAAGGTAGGCACAAGGGCACGGGCAATACAGTCAGACGCAAGGGGAATAGGACTGGACTGGAGCAGGGTTACGACATGGTTGAGGTAAGGGCTGAAGGATCAAGACGTGCGAGGTAAGGGAAAGGGGACAGGTGCAAACTGCACAACTAACTGACAACGGATGTGTGAGGAAGTTGGAGGACAAGGGCAAGGTAAGCAAGAGCCGCGGTGAGCAGCCAAACGGCTAAGTGCCAGGGCTGTGTGGGCAGTGAGGTAAAGTGTCAGGATTGTGAGTCCGTAATTGCCAAAAGCCACACGTTTCTGCAGATGGGCATGAACGACCAGCAGTTTCTGTTTTGCGCGGCCACAGAGACAACAGAGTCTATCCATCTGTGCAGGGATGGGAAAACCGTGTCCCTTAGGGCACGTGGACTAAAAACCCACCCAAAAGAGAGGCCCCGGCAAATTAAAGCTTGGGCATGGCGGGCAAGGGCCAACTACCACAACCTGTGTAATATACACCCCTCTGTTGGAGTGCTTGAGAAGGGATGAATGTGTCCCAATTGCCACTAACCTCGCCCTACCCCCCTTCCCCCCCAGCTTGCACCCTACCCGTCTCTCTTTCCATCTTATCTCCACCCTTTCCTTCCTTACTTGACACTTATTCTTACGCATGATGAGCCCAGACTGTAGCGCACGATTCTGAGATGTTTTGAGACTTTTGCATTTGCATCCACGTGCTTCCAGCTGGCAAATAGGAGCTGCTGGAAGACACCATAGTCGGAGACAATCTCTTCTTGAGGACTTGATCGAACTTTAGGGACCGTGGTGTGAATGCATGGGAGCAGACATTGCAAGGCATCCAGACTCCATTTTGATTGACTGGCTTGTTTTATGTCCAGCCAAACCCATCAATCTACGAGGCTTCTTTTTGTTAGGATGTGGTGGCTGCTCTCAATTTCGCCTTTGCTGCCGAATGTGGGTTCTCCCGTGTCATTGTGTCGCTCACACAATCTTGCCAACTCCGCACCAGCTATAGGATGCTTGAGGTCCGTGCCAGCTAAACCAGGTATATGTATATGTATATATACATTTTGATCTGCATGTATGTATAATGATAGGGCTTTGGGTTTAGGGTTATATAGAGACATATACCTATGCAGATAGATACACATGTACGATACAAACATATATATATATATATGAGAGAGATACCTTTAGGGTCTATTTGCCGCTTTGGTTTCCTATATATATATTATATAAATAATTCAGATAATTTACATAATTTAAATGGAGGCTTGGATTTGAATTATTTGAATTATTTCCTGGGATTTAAATAATTTAAATAATTCAAATATTTTTTATAATTTAAATACGGGCCTCCATTTGAATTATTTACATTATTTAAATCCAGGAAATAATTCAAATAATTTAATTCCAGGCC